ATCCACCGTCGCCCCCACTTCATCACCCGTTATGGAATTGAGTGACGATGAGCCCGATGACCCCCGTCCTGTCGCCGAGGATAGGTACTGTACAGTAAAGTGAAATTTTTATCTCTTTTTTTTTAATAGCTTTTCTTGCCATGTTTATTGTTCGTAAAAATGCACAGCACAGTACAGTTCAGTACTGTACATAGGAAGTGGAGGTGCAGTTATTCACAAAACATTTGTGTTCGTTGTCAGCAGTAGTGACGGTGAGGAGGTGGAGGAGGCAGAGGGGGTGAAGGAGGCAGAGGAGGTGGAGGAGGTAGCGGAGGGAGCGAGTTGGGAGGAGTGGTGACCTTGGACGCGGGCGCAGGGACGAGTGGAGATGCCAGCCAGTACATTACGGGTGTATTAATTGTTTTTATAGCTATTTTTGCATTTTAATATTAAATATTGTACATTACGTTTCAGCAAAACTACCATTGATTTCTGAGAACATGGAAATGTAATATTTTTGCTGAAATGATGTACGTATTACAGTGGAAAGTGGGATAAAATTGTGACAAAAGCAATGACATTCTCTTTCTTTCGTTCAAAAGATGTTACCATAATCGCTTTTCGAATGGTTTTCAGTTGTGGGATTATAAGGCTAATGATAGGATAGAATATTATTGTAATACAGTACGAGTACAGTACAACAGTTTTTTAACTGAAAACCATTCGAAAAGCGATTATGGTAACATCTTTTGAATAACGAAAGAAAGAGAATGTCATTGTTTTCATGATTTTATCCCACTTTCCACTGTAATATGTACGTCATTCCAGCAAAAATATTATATTTCCATATTTATTTCTGAGAATACCTATATTCATTCAGTCACAGTTAAGGTAAAATATACTTGTGATGTAATATTTTAATGAAAATACGGTATCGTAGTTTTCTTTTGTTTCAAATTTAATTAACAAAGATTGATGTTTCAAATGTAATGAACAAAAATTTATGTACAGTATCTATAAATAAACTTTAATAAATGAATACTTTGTTTTACATCGTCCTGTGCTACCATACCATGGATTTGGCTACTTTGGGCTTGCTATGATGACGCAAGAGATCTGCCCTGGAAACTGTACCGACACTCACAGCTGGTGGTGCGTTGGTGCGTCGTTTCCATTGTTTACTGGTAGTTACTGGTAAATATTTTTCAACGCTAACGAAACCATTACCCGTTTAGAGGTCTATCTCCAATTTTTTGCCAAATAATTTGGTCTTAAAAACTCGAACTACACACAGGTATATACAGTAAATAAGGACATGGGGAGCCAGGGTTTTTTTTTTTAGGGGGGGGCAGCAAAATTACACGGATTTTTAACATTCACGGGTATCTCTGTTACCTAACCCCCGCATATGTTAAGGGCCGACTGTACTGTACAGTGATTTCTCAGTTAACGAGCGCCTCGGTTTACGAAATTTCGGTTAATGAATTACCTTCCATAAGATTCTTCACTTCGGTTAACTAGCAAACCCTCGGTTAACGAATTCCTTACGAATTTTTCCCTAACATGTTTTTGCCTGCATTTGGCTGTCCACCAGCTGTAGTATTAGTCTGCCAATACAGTAATCGGTTTTAGGGCTTAAATTCCTTACCATTTTAGTAAATATCAAGAAGGTTGTACTATTCAATAATTTTAAAAGTTTTTTATTAAATTTTTTAGTCATTTTAACAATTATTGAACATAATTGAAGTACAAGAAGCTAGTTTTTTGTGCGCCAAACAGCCACTCAACACACCAACCTAGGCGTCAGTTTGTTTACCAGTTCAGAGGAAGGAACATCTGGTTTGAGACTCTTCAATATAAATGCTTTTTTCTGTGTTTCCAGTCAAATTATTGGTCATTTTGAAATTATTTTACATATTGATAATATATAGTACAGTGCAGTGTTGATTTAAAGAAAATAATCTTGAATTACACCAAGTGAACTAATCAACAGTGTTGATTTAAAGAAAATAATCTTGAATTACACCAAGTGAACTAATCAACCAGGAGCCTTCGACATGCACACCTCAAAGTAAGTGTACTTTACTGCATTTATTTTTAGTTTGCATGTAATTTTCGGTGAGCTGGAACCAATTACCCAAAAACCCATTAAAACAATGGTTTCGGTTAACGAATTTTTCAGTTAACGAACAACCTTCTGGAACAAATTGTGCTCGTTAACCGAGGGACCACTGTACTGTAATGTTATTTAATGTTAATAAATGGAACAATAGAAGTAGCTTACCATTAATGGTAAAGAAAAAAAGTGAGATCGCGTATATAAGTGAGCACATGTGAAAACATATCGTCATTACTCTACATGAGAATATGAAAGCAACACTTATTTACTGTTCGTATATATCTTAATTAATGTTTCTGAATTTAAAACAAAAATTCTACCCACCACCGGTGGTAACGTTGAAAACATAAGGAGAGCCAATGTTGTTGTGTGTGTTTTTGCCCGGATGACGAAGTTGCCAAGTCATCAGGTTCAACTCTAGCTGAAGCTGTAGAACATAAAAACTTTTTCTGTGTTGTTTTTAGTTTTAATTTAACTTTATCTGTGTTATTTTTGTTGGTTTATTAGGATGTTGCTTTATTACAGGTAGTAATTCGCCCAAAAAGTAGGGTAAATAAGGCAAAATTTTGCCAAACATTGAAAGTACCAGAGTCAAATTAATTGTCTCCATAGGAAGTTGTATTTAAATTCGGAAGATTTTAATTTCGCTAGGTTTTTACAGTCTAAATGGGTGTCCAAATATGAGAGCCTACATATGAAGAAACAAACATTCCTGTGCTTTGAGACCAGCAGACAACCTTTAGCAATTCCTCAATAGATAGAGCTGCCGCACCACTGCCATTAGTAAATAAACCGCACAGCAGCAAGGTTTTATTTTTATTTTTTTTTGCAGTACAGCTCCTCCCCGACTTACGACGGGGTTAGGGACCCAAATCCAGGTCGTAAGTCGAAATGGTAGTAAGTCGGAAATGCTTAAATAATACATAGAAAATCTAAAATGGGTGTCTCTTTTTCTTCTCAGCACCACAAAACTCTTACTTTTAAGCTTGCCAGCCATTTTAAAGTGAATTACAAACAAAAATTTTGTCTGTGTACTGATTTTGGGACTCGAAAATACGTAATTTGACCAAATTTTGGTATGACTGAGGCAGGTCGTAAGTCGAGTAGGTCGTAAGTCGGGGAGGAGCTGTATATCAACAATATTAGTTAAATCAATAGTTTTATAGTACTGTATAGAGAATACTTGTAATTGTTAAGTACTGTAATGAGGTAAAAGTCTTTGTAAGGGGCTGATTTCAGTTGACCCTAAGAAAACCTTGCTACAACTATCAACTAGCATCCTGGAAGACACATGGTAATTTTCAAGGTATATTTTTGTCATAAAAAGTGCATCTTTCAAGCTGAAAAATACGGTAACATTGAATCACTGAAGTATAAGACTAAAGGTCTCAAAGTATGACAAGTTCTGTAACATAGTGTACCTCCCCCATCAATCTCATTTGACATTTCAGCGTACTCACAGTGTTAGTTTTTATTATAACTAGCTTAGCATAAAATGCTTCCATTACATTCTGTACCGTCAATTTCCTCACTCTCCTTCTTGGAACATACTGTACACCTTCCATTCTCTACACATTTTAAAAAACATGTCACACATAAGTATTCTGTGCTGCAGTACACATTCTTCCTATGTTACATCCTTTACATCCCTAACACGCTTCCAATCTGATTTCCTGACAAGTACAGTCAGTAGTTAATCTGTGTTTTTGTTCCACCTGACTCATATATAATCAACCAACTCACCATTTTCTTAAACAACTTGTTGTATACATCCATACTTGGTGCTAAGCCCAAACTCAATTATTCTTCCTTGTACTGTACCACAGCCTTTTCCACCAGGCGCACCTTCATAACCCTCAGTGTATACAATCAACAACAAAAATTTTACACCCATGTCTGACGGCTTTCACAACAATCAATGACTAACGCCACGTTTAGTTGGTAAGGTTGGTATTTCTGATTGTGATGCATTGTATAACCTATACGATGTATTTTGTATTTCACGTATAGTTAATACAGATAAATTAACAGGAATCACCCTAGTAAATGAGTGTTGTTCAGAATTCTTGCACCTTTATGGTGTGTAGAAAATTTATGTTGTTGACTGCATGCCAAGATAGCTATGAAGGTCACCACCCAGCACAGTACAGTACAGAAATACCTCACTATTCGCAACTCCTTATCCACAAATGATATTTTAACACCGCTATTTGATAGTCACAAAGCATACCCCGTTTATTCACAAAAGAAAAATTACAATACCTTACACTCCTACAGTAATATTTCGAACCGGCGGGCTAGCCACAGCTCATATTCCGATGTAAGGCCCACTTCACACACGAGTGTGGGTCACCCCAAGGCCACAAAAGCAGTTCAGTGGTCTCAGGGTGACCCACTACAATCAGCTTTAGGGACACCATACCATGCGTGATGTGGTACTAAAGCTAGGCACGGTATCAGGCAGTTGATGAAGGAGCAGCCTCTCAGTGTGCTACCCAAACTTGGACTGTTGTATTGTCAAAAGGAAGCTCACCTAGTACCCTCTGTATAGGCGGAGTGCCAATCCAGAAAATGCAGCAGGGATCAGAGGAAGAACACAGCTTTGGTGTCTTACTTAGCATCAGGCATGTTGAAGCAAAGTTTTATAACCAACCCAAAGAGTGGGAACAGTTGGCAAGGTATGCTTGCAGCTCCCTGAGGTTATCAAAGACTACCTGCCCACACATTAAATAATCATTTGTAAGTTGTCTTAAAATAGAGTATATTTAGATTTCTTTAAAGGAATTTATTTTTGCTAAAATTTTATTTAGTCTTCCTAAATACGTAAACACTGGAGATAGGCAAATGAAATGATATCTAATGTGATTAGTACATGCTGTCCTAGTCATGAATTTCTTTTTTAATATTCTGTGTACTGTATATAAATAAACTTATTCATATTACAATGATGAAATATTTTTATCAGCATTTTTAATTGAAATCATAAAACTGACCAGACCTGCTTACCAACTTGATAGCATCAGTAGAACAACCCCACTGCAGCAAACCAATGCAGGTGATACACACAGCACATTTTTGTTTCTTAACGATATGTTCGGGTGTTCCATTTTCAGGTGTGACAACTTCTTCATCAGCAAGAGTACACATGTCATTCTTGGTTACTGTTGTCTTCAGCGTGTGCTTCTCTTCATTTTCCAATTTGCTGGATTCCTGGTTGACAATTTCAGCCTGTAAATTGAAGTTGATTAAGAAATTGTTTAAATTTATTAAGCAGTTGATTAAAACATTCCTAATTTAAATATTCATCAATACAGTACTGTATATAATTATATGTAGCACATAAAATAGCTGCAGACAAGGATTAACCAAAAGATTACTTACAAAATGCAGAAAAAACATTATACAACCTCAATGTTAGCAATTATCTACATCTCATTAACTTTTCTCTAAATCTGCAAATATGAGAGATTGATCCTGAAATCCAATTTTCTAATACTGTACAGGAATACCTCACTATTTGCAACCCTGATAATTACAACCCTGCTTATCCGCAATTGATATCGCACCTCCCCTATTTGTAATAGCCCCTGTCTTATAGGCAAAAGTATTTATATAAATGGGTTAATTACATTTGATTTATATAATCTATTGTATGTATATTATGTATGTTGTATGTATGCCTTGTATGTACTCTATATATATACATTACTTCTCCAGTCAGTAGCGTGTGGCAATGCCTCTGTTTCATGTCACCACACGCTTAGATAAATGTGCCTGGCGGCATCTGGAAGCTGCTAATGTACCACTTACCAAATGTCGCCTAAGAGGTCAGAGAGAGGTCAGTTGACCCATATAGGTGTGTAGGGACTACCTGCGCTTGTAAGCGCACCTTGTATATTTCCGTTGAATAGAACCTACAGAACTCTACAGTTGTTTATGTTCGCTCCTGTAATTAGAACCAAGTACCCTGAACATCTCCATGGCGCAGTGAGTATCAAGTGATCGATTAAGTGGAAATAAGTCCGTTCGTATAAAATCAAGACCGGTAGACCCCGCTCCGTCAACTCACTCCATCACCCGTCGCTCTCCTACTCTCGCATTGTCTCCCACAAAAATTCGTTTGAATGACCAATGAGTTTTGAGCAGTGTGCAGTGACCGCAAGTTCCTGTGAAGTGTCTTAAGTGCCCCTCATGTGTGTAGTGCTAAAGTGTGTGTCCTTGTCTTAAAGGATTCTCTAAGGTGGAAGGCTGATATAGGAGTGAATTAACGTCAGCGGCGTCAAATCTGACTCTTCCCCACCTCCCTCCAGGCTACCCCCACCTACACACACCAACTCACGCACGGACACTCCGACTGCAGTCATTTCTTCATATATATTATATATATATATATATATATATATATATATATATATATATATATATATATATATATATATATATATATATATATATATATATATATATATATATATATATATATATATATATACATATATATAAGTTACTTATCTGTGTATTCAATTAATTTTGTTGTCTCAGATCTGGTTGATACGACGGGCTGACCGGTCAACACTGATTTGACATACAATATACAGATAAAGTAATTATGCCCCGGGCCTCACGCAGCGGTGTCCCTAGCGCCCGGATGAGTCAGACGGATGACAGCTCTACAGAGATGGATGACCAGTCAGACCGCGACGCCCCACCCTCTCCCAACACATCTCCCAGCCACACCCTCGACCCTCAGCCTCGTCCTCAGAGATAATTGCTCTGATGAAGCTTATGAGGGAGGAAAGGCGTGAGGACGAAGCGAGAAGACGTGCTGAGGACCACAAAAGGAGATTGGAAGATAACAAACGGTTTGCAGCTTTGATATCTAGCCTCACTGCTAATCAAGCCCTTGGCCCTTCCACTACTCCGGTACCGACCGGCTCAGATACCTCGTCAACGCCCTCTACCAAAGTGGTTGTCCAACCCCCACCCACCTTGAAGCCTGATGAGACTTTCCAGACTTTTCGTGAGTGGCGGTGACGGTGGACTGATTATGCTACAATGGTGGATCTCCAGAGCTTCCCACAGCCTAAACAACTCATTCAGCTACGTATGTGCCTGTCTTTGGGAACGCAGCATGTGTTGGAACACACGTTGCAAGTGCCCCCGACGTCTTTGTTGTCTGTAGAGGAGGTACTGGATGTTCTAGAACGGCACATCAAGGGTCAGCAGAATGAAGCTCTCCGCAGGAGGGAAGTGTTTAGTTGTAGACAGATGGAGGGCGAGACTTTTGACGATTTCTATGTACGAGTCAAGAGAGCCTCGGAAGAGATAGACATATGTCCCGGTAATCACCAGCAGTGCGAAGAGACCCAGTTGAAGCAGGTGATCCTGATGGGTGTTAAGGACGAGGAGCTTGTCCAACGCCTCACCTCCCTCGACTCTTCCTCCTTTCTTAAGGAAGTATTGACAGTATGTCGCTCCTATGATACTGCCAGGTGTGCTACCTCTGCCATCCTAGCTCCCACTACAGCCGTACGGGCTATGTCCCAATACAAGAAAGACAAGAAGTCTACCCCAACACCTACGCCCACCTCCCTTTGCAACAGCTGTGGTAGGCAGCACGGAACACAGGTGTGTCCAGCTGCTGAGTCTACCTGCAACAGTTGTGACCGCAAGGGCCACTGGTCACTTACAGTACGGTGCCCAGCCAAACGCGTCCAGTGCAATGTGTGTGGCCGTCTGGGCCACTACGACAAGTGTTGCCCGACAAACATACCCAAGGGACAGCGTCGGCGGAAGCAGCAGCGCCCTTCCACCAGTGAGGGCCGCCCACAGTCGCCAAATCAGAGGCACGACGACCCTGGACAAAGCCCGACCCATATTAGGAGGGTGTACTCCTCTTCGCGTCCCAGGGCCAAAGTTCCCCAGCACGTCAGCGTCATCGTGACCTAATGCAGTGTGTCATCCTGTCTCGAGATGCTGCCCGACACAGGTGCAAAGGCTACGGTCATCGGTCCCCAGCATTTAAAATGCTTGGGGCTCTCTCCAAGTGATCTAGGACCGCCTCCCAAGGACCTCCGCTTCACGGCAGATGGTTCACAGATGGCCCCAGCCCTAGGTTCACTCTATGCACATGTCACCTTTGGCAACAGGTCGTGTCAAGCCTGGATTGACGTGCATAATGGTGTCCCGACTCCTTTGCTGTCCTACAGACATTGCCAAATGTTGGCCATCATCTCCCAGGACTTCCCAACACCGATTCTTGAGGTAAAATACGCCAACAGGGTGCACGAGGGGAGCAGCAACTGCCCTGCTGCCGCCCTACCTCTACCTCTGGCCAGTGACACCTCTCCTTCGGTAGTTTTCCCTGCTGCTTTACGTCCCCACGCCTTGGCTCGCCTCCACGACAGTCACTGTGGAGCCGAGGTCACCAAACGGCGTGCACGACAGACTGTGTTCCGGCCTGGCATTGACCCCGACATCTCCAATGCTGTCCATGCGTTTAAGCCCTGCCAAGTTCTACAACCCGGCAAGCAGCAGGAACCCTTCACGAGTGACGACAACCCCACCCGCCCCTTTGAGTCTGTGTTGGCCGACTTTTTCTGTGTGTCAGGAGAGTCCTTCCTGGTTATCGTCGACCGTCTCTCTGGTTGGCCGGTTGTCATCAAGTGCGGTAATGACACGTCTGCCGCCACCATCAGCAAGTTCCGCCACTACTTCCGTTACGTGGGCGTTCCTGCGCGCCTGCGAACCAACGGAGGGCCCCAGTTCACAAGCCGGGACTTTGCTGCATTCCTCGACCGATGGGGAGTCCGGCATGTGTTGTCACCGCCCCATTACCCGCAGTCCAATGGCCACACTGAGGCTGCTGTCAAATCCCTGAAGCACCTCATCCTCAAAGTGGCCCCTTCTGGGAATATTGACTGCGAGGCCTTCGACCAGGGTCTCCTTGAGCTCCGCAACACACCCAATTACACCGGACGCTCCCCTGCCCAGGTCTTGTATGGATGCCCCCTCCGTTCTTGTGTCCCTGCTCACCCTCAATCCTTCTCCAAGGAGTGGCAAGCCATGACAGAGGATTGTGATCGCCGAGCCGCCGAACGTATTCAAGACGTCGTCGCCCGCCACAACGACCACGCCCATCCTCTCCCCAGGTTGAGTGTCGGCACCCAAGTCCGTGGCCAGGACCCGACTCCCTACGTTGGGACAAAGTGGGCGTAGTCATGGGTCTCGGTTGGTCACGGGACTACCAGGTGCAGTTACCCAGCGGTCGGGTGTGGTGGAGGAACCAGCCGTTTCCTCCGCCCCGTAACACATTCCGCTGACCCTGCCACCAGTGCTGAGTCCCATATCCCCCAGTGATTATGCCCCTCGACGCTCAGAACGGATCCACAGGAAAAGGTCCGCTCAAGACTTTGCTATGAGCGTATAGGGGGGGGGGAGGTGTATGTATATTATGTATGCATACCATGTATGTACTCTATATATATATATATATACTTCTGCAGGTTGTAGATTCCACGAAGCTCCTTGGCGTCACCATAGACAACAAACTAAATTGGAAACCACACATCAGTGAAGTTGTCAAATCCTCCAGTTTCCGTCTCCACCTCCTCCGCCGACTTAAGTCCCTCGGAGTTCCTGCACCCGAGCTCCTCAGTGTTTACACAACATTCATACTTCCCAAGCTCACCTATGCCTCCCCCACCTGGTCTTTCTCCCTAAATGCCACACAACGTAAATACCTACAAAAAGTGCAAAAGAGGGCATGCAAGATTATTCTCTCCCCTTCCTACTCCACATATCAAGAAGCGCTCAACACACTGACCCTTTCGACTCTCACTGACCATCGCCACGACCTCATCTGCAAATTTGGTAAGAAGCTTCTACACCATCCTCGACACTGGCTCCTACTACCACCTGAGATCCCTAGCCCGAGAAATGCTGTTCGACACCACAACCGCATCCAGCCCATACGTGCACGAACTGACCGCTATAAGAACAGCCCAGTCCCAACCATTGTAAAAATTATCAATAACTTGTAATAAACCAGTGTATTCACTCCCAGTAAATCCTACTTCTTGCACTGTCACTATGTTGAAATGCACTGTAATTTGAGCTTTTCCCCATCTAGTTATTATATATCTTATTTGTATCACTTATGTTACTTGTATATTATTTGTAATTCGAAACCCATTCCCCAAATATGTAACTGTATATTTTCAGCCTTC